CGTATACATTATTTTATAAATAATGTAAATAAATTATTTTATTGTCTACTAATTACCAAAAATCACAGTTCTGTCTCTCCAACTCAATGTATTTCAATTGGCCGCTATGAGCTTCCTGGAACTATTTGAGGTCTACGTGAATCACGTGACGATCGAGCGTTTTGGACTCCCGTTGACGCAGCTCTCTCTTTCCATGGCTCTGGGAACTACTACGTTTAGGCGAATTCTTTCAAACAGTTCGCTTCAAAGAACCGGTTCAAAAACGTAATGACGTAAAAAAAAAATTAAATATAGCTGCATTGTAATTTTCATACGTCTCAGTTCATTTGTTGATTCCATGATTTAGCTCTTATAAATATACACTCTAAAAAATGCTGGGTTAAATACAACTAGGGACAAACCCAGCAATTGGGTTGTTTTGACCCAGCGGTTGGGTTAAATGTTTAACAAATGTTTAACCCAACCTTCTGGGTAGTAACCCAACCGCTGGGTCAAAACAACCCAATTGCTGGGTTTGTCCCTATTTTACCCAGCACTGGGTTGTATTGAATCCAGCATTTTTTAGAGTGTACAATACACAAAGCAAGGTGTAGGCTATTTGGGGACTTTACTTTAGTATTGATTTTTATTTTTAAATTATTATTTAGCTTAGACTTGTTTAAAAAATTTAAATTTGCTTCCCTTTTTTTGAACAGCGATGTGATTACTAAATAATTTGAAACATGAGCACATGACCGAATATGGGCACCAGAACCACCAGATTCTCCTGTCAACCCTATTGGAAAATGGCATCTCAGGAACCGCACGCCAGTGGTTTGAGTCTTACCTCTCAGATAGGTCCTTCAAGGTATCTTGGAGAGGTGAGGTGTCCAAGTCGCAACATCTAGCTACTGGGGTGCCTCAGGGCTCAGTTCTTGGACCACTGCTCTTCTCTGTCTACATGGCATCACTAGGTTCTGTCATTCAGAAACATGGCTTTTCATATCACTGCTATGCTGATGACACTCAACTCTACCTCTCATTCCATCCTGATGATCCGACGATAGCTGCTCGCATCTCAGCATGTCTAACAGACATTTCTTGTTGGATGACGGACCATCAACTTCAACTCAACCTGGCTAAGACAGAACTGCTTGTGGTTTCAACAAACCCATCACTTTATCATAATTTCACCATCCAGTTAGGCTCATCAACCATAACTCCTTCAAAAACAGCTAGAAACCTTGGAGTAGTGATTGATGATAAGCTGAATTTCTCAGACCACACTGCTAAAACTGCCCGTTCCTGCAGATTTGCTTTATACAACATTAGGAAGATCAGGCCCTTTCTTTCAGAACATGCAACACAACTCCTCGTTCAAGCTCTTGTTCTATCCAGGCTGGACTATTGCAATGCTCTCTTGGCAGGTCTTCCAGCCACTTCTATCAAACCTCTACAATTAATCCAAAATGACACTGCAAGATTAATCTTTAATGAGCCGAAAAGAACGTATGTCACACCTCTGTTCATCAATTTGCACTGACTACCAGTAGCTGCTCGCATTAAATTCAAGGCATTAATGTTTGCCTACAAAACCACCACTGGCTCTGCACCCATTTACCTAACATTTGCACTTATATATTGTTGCTCTTTTGTTAGTTTAGACTGCTTTTATTTTCCTCATTTGTAAGTCGCTTTGGATAAAAGCATCTGCTAAATGACTAAATGTAAATGTAAATACCACTAGTTAAAAAAATAGGTATTCTGGACCAATTCTTATACTCCAAGGTTCTTTCTTTTCATTTTAAATCTTTCACTCCACAAATCTAAAATCAAAATTCTTCATTAGTACAATGTCACAACACTTTTTTTCCACAAAATTAGATCAGATATAATCTCAAAATTGTTATTTTGACTGACTAAATCTCACAAATATTCCGATGACTGACTAAATCTCACAAATATTCCGATGAAATTCTAGCCTATCTAGGCTGTACCTAACGGTTTCGACTGGCCTGGTCTGTAGCGTCAAGTTTCGTTTTTGGGAAATGGAGAGAGAGAGGCTGGTAGACTATATATTCGCTGCTGAGCTGTTTACACTCATTCAACATCTCTTGCAGGAACAGGAGCCGACACAAATGCAAGATGGACAGAAATAGCTGGTAAGAAACGTCTTTAATAGCAACACAGTAGAAGGCTATAGGTGATATTCTGAGGAAATGTATGTTGCATTCATTTAGGAATTAAAGAGGTTTATCAATAAACGGTGACGATAATAGATATAGGGTATAATCATGAAAACAACAATTAATTTGCTTCTTGTCCTCCAAATATCCATGCTAACGGACTGTTATCAAATAAATTCAGGTCTTGTTGGTTTGGGTCTAGACTGAGCTCTATTGAGTTTAAGTTTCGTTTCGCCGAGCAGCGTCACCGCAGCGCTGCTGCAGCTCCAGGAATCTGAAACTGAGGACGCAAGGCGCGTTCAAACGCAGACGGACTCTATGGCAAGCCGAATTAGCTTTACAATTGTGACAATCGCCTGACAATTATGCCAATAAAGTTTTGACTTTATGATTGTATTTATGCCCGTGTGTGATGATAAATGAGCGTGTTGTGTTTTCATTTACAAATTAAACTACGTGAATGATTCATTCCTCAATTAAACACTATAGGATTGATAAATATAGTCTATTAATTAGCCGAAATAAAATGAAATATGTTCAATTTAAACTGCATTCCAGTAAAAATTCCAGTCAGCATATTCAAAGCTTTATTGGCATGTTGAGCATTTATAGTAGGCTGTTAAAACTATTCAGAACGTTAAGTAAAGAGATCGAAATGAAGGGAGGGGGGAAACGAATATAAAAATATAACCACTAATAATAATAAAAATAATAATATACAAATATTGCGGGAACAGACAATCAGTTAATGGACTTGTGGAATGGATATGTTTTCTTGTATGCCTATTTTATTTTATGTACTTTATGTATTTATTCATGATGAACTTCATTCGAATGTCTACATCACGCACAATACAGTCCGGTAGCCAAGGTCTATATGGTTAATATAATAATTTAATAATGTAATAATTTCTATAATGATCAATATAATAATTTCTTAATTCAAAACAAAATATTAATAAATAGATTTCTGATAATCCCTGGTTGCTATAGTCACGCAGGTTTGTTTACGCGTTAAACTTAGAAAAATATGTCGTTTCCTCAACATAGCATCTCGAGGCCACGACTTCATTTCCACAAGTTAACATGACGTTCCCACAAATTAATATCTCATGGCCACGACATATCATCACGTTCCCATGAGTTAATATGTCGTGGCCACGACAAAATCAAGTGAACCCAACATGTACCCTTACGGTCACCATAGCATTACTCGTGGTAATTGCATTTTACTAATAAGGACTAGTAAGAATGCCAAAATTCAGTTTTTACTAGTAAACAATTACGATTAGAGATCTCTCTATTCCAATTATCCAAGTCACAGAGCTCTATAATTCAATTTTACTAGTTAGCTAGAATTCAAGAGCTCTACAATTACATTTTTATTAGTCCTATGTCTCCATTGAATTCCATTTGTTTTTCATTACAGAGCTCTACAACTGAATTTTTACTAGTATGAATTGCAGTTAGAGAGCTATAATTCAATTATAGATATGTTTAATTGCAAAGTTCCATTATTACAATTTAATTTAATTAATTGAAATTAAGCTAATCAAATTCAGATTGTGATGGACTAATGTCAGTAATTATTCATCTGTTGTTCTGCGATCTTTGTTCAAAATCAGAATAGGTGCATTTCTTTTTTAATTTACATTTGTATTATTGATTTCAAGTTTTGACGTCAGTTATTTGCATTTTTGACCTGTTTTTTGATGCAAATGTTTGAAGTCAATTTGAGGTCTTTTCAACATCAAGGTGCCCACTGGGTTAACAACTGAATTAGAGAGCTTTGTATTGAATTAGAGAACTCTATTCTAACAACAATCAAATTAGAAATCTCTCTAATTGGA